CTCCAGGACTCTGGTCTTGTGTGTGCCTGTGTCTGCAGACAACCTGTTAATCAAGAACAGCTTTGTCTGGTACTTCCTGCAGGTGGTTCACACAGAGAGGGAAGACCGTTTGCTCCTTGAAGTCACTGTTTTCAAATTTGTAAGAGCTGTGCATTGTGGACGGTGAGGTGAAGAGAGAGAACAGAGTTCAGCCCATCTAGAAAGGGCTGTCCTTTGTGCACTGGTGAACTGCAACCTCCTCCACGCTGACTCTGCGACCCCCTCTGGCACCAAATGCGTCACCACCTGTGCAGGCAGCACTTTGCTGTGTCACAGCCCACTTATACCCCGACCTCATTCTTCCATGCGTTGCAGTTACTCTTTGATGCATGTCATCCCCTCCCATGGCTGTGTATGAAAGGCAGTGGGCACGTCTTAATCTCTTAACAAATATTCTGAGCATCTGCTATGTGTAGGCACTGACCTGGGAGCTGGGCAGTTGGAAGTGAACAATGTTGACAAAGTCCCTCCCTCCCACAGCGCATCATCTTAGTGTTTCCCAGCATCTATCGTAAGTGTATAAGTTATCTGTTGCCGCGTAACAAATTACCCCAATACTGAGCAGCATAAAACAAATTTATTCCTCATGCAGTTTCTGAGGAAGTCATGGGTGTGTTTAAAAAATGCCAAGATTTTGTCAATTTTTTCAGATTAAAAATTTTGCACACACATGTCTATATAATCTGGGAAGAATTCAGGAACAATTCAGCCCAGTGGTCTTGGCTCAGGCTTTCTCAAGAGGTGGTGATGCAGGAGGAGCAAGCCTCAAAATTGGGGCTTGGCCTGCAAGGGTTCTTGGCTTTGCCCAGGAAAGAATCCCAGTGCAAGCCAGTAGTGGTAGACAGCAACTTTTATTGAAGCACCAGCACACGGCAGTAGCAGAGGTGCTGCTCCCTGCCAGGAAGGGCTACCCCATAGGCAGAGTGCCCAGGACAGCAGCTCAGAGGCAGTGCTGCAGGCCTAGTTATGCCCATTTTTAATTATATGTAAACTATGGGCTGATTATTCAGGAACTTCTAGAAGAAGGGTGGTAACTTGTGGGTCATCAGGTTGTTGCTACAGAAAGGGGTGGTAATATCTAGGTGTTCCCACGGCAATGGTGAACAACATGGTTCTTTGGTGGGTGTGTATTAGGAAAAGTTGCTTCTCTCCTGTCCATTTTTTAGCCAGTCCTCAGTTTGGTCTGGCATCTAAGCCCCGACTCTGGAGTAAAATCTCACCTTCCACCTCAGTTGCAGTGAAGGTATCAGCCAGGCTGCCATCATCTGAAGACTTGACTGGGTTGGAGTATCTGCTTAAAGGCTCACTCATCTACACACCTGTCAGCCAAAGCCCTCAGTCCTCATCACATAGGCCTCTCTGTGGGTGCTTATGGTATAGCAGCTGGCTTCCCCTCAAACGAAGGTTTCAAGAGAGAAAGAGGGAGCCGGAAGGCAGCCGCAATGTCTTTTGTCTCAGCTCAGAAGTGACACACCATTACTTCTGCCGTATGCTGTTGACCACACAGACCAACCTTGGTACAAAGTGGAAGGGAGCTGATTGCAGAGGGGCTGGGACCACGCGGACCATTTTGAAGGCTGGCTACCAGAGCAGGGATTTGTACAGTGGGTGTTCCATAAATGCCTGTTAACGTTTTTACCCCAACAATCCTTAAGTCAAAAGCTCTACTTTTATTTTTAATAGACTTCGTTGTTTAATGGCAGTGCCAGGTTTCACAGCAAAGTACACAATTTTCCTATATACCCCACCTGCCACCCTTCCCATGCGCAGCCTCCCAATATCCCACCAGAGTAGGGTATTTGTTACAATCAGTGAACCTATGTTGTCACATCTTTATCATCCAGAGCCCATGGTTTCCATTAGGGTTCACTCTTGGTGTTGAACGTTCTGTGGGTTTGGCCGAATGGCATGCATCCACCATTACAATACCGTACAGAGGAGTTTTGCTGACCTGAAAATCCCCCGTGCTCAGCCTGTTCATCCCTCCTTCCCTCCCAATCCCTGGCAACCACTGACCTTTTGACTGTCTCCATAGTTTTGTTTTTCCCAGAATATCACATAGTTAGAATCATACAGTATGTAGCTTTTTAAGAGTGGCTTATTTCACCGAGTTATTATGCATTGAAGATTCCTCCGTGTCTTCTCATGACTTGATAGTGCATTTGTTTCTTTAAATTATTTTTGACAAAGTAGGCATCATTTTTGCCTCGGTTTGGCTGATTGAATTATTCTGGAGTGTTTGTAACCTTCCACTCAGTTTAAGTCATTTGAAGGGTTTACCCAGCTAACATGCCACTGTCACTTGGAAAAAATAAAAGTCCGCAAATGTGTTTTGGGCAGCCTTTTAACTTCTTGTCTTAAATTGTCTTCTTCCCTTGCAATCAGATTCTCTAAGGGTCTTGCCAGACCATTCATGTTCTGCTTGTCTAACCATTTGTGGGAAACCTCTCTTTGTAACCCTCATTCTGTTCTATTTAAAATAGACTTGGTTTAATGCCCAAAGTAACCAAGCCTTGCTGAAAGAATGAAGCTGGCTCAGGAAGGTCTGTGTTGGTTGATTAAGGCACCTGTCACAAGTAGGTGCTTGCTATTAAATAGAAGCCTCAGGTAGAGGGCAAGGGACCTATTCTTTTTAGGGGAAAAAAATAGAGCGACATCATTGTACTTTGACTCCCACCTACAGTGAACTAGCAACACATATGCAGATGACAAAGGCAGACTTCAAGTTAGCTGTGATCATGGCTGTGTGATTTTCTTCCTTCTATTCTGTCATGAGGCTAAGTAGGAAGCAGGGCTCAGCAGAAGAGATGAAGCTACCGCCAAGAGAACAAAACCAGTATTTGTGTCATATTATTCAATGCTTTACCTCCCACTCTGACTCTTGGGAGAAATAGACTTTTCTCTGGTAAGTTGCAACCAAACAGCTAGTGGCTCTTACCAGAAGGAAAAAAAAAGATGAAATATTACCAGAAGCCTACATATTTAGGAGCAAAACCCATCATAGATCCTAATGCATGGTAAGGGATAGAAAATCCCAGAAAAGATTTAGAGGGAGTTAGAAAGATGTGCTCTATTTTGTCTTAGCAGAAAATCAGCTCAACTCTTCAAAACTTGCTAACATGTAAGGATGAGTGAGAATGGTCGTTGGATTTGTATTTGACAACTTGCTCCACACCGCACTCAATGTCTTATGCAAATATTATGTAAAGCTCTGTTTAGCTGGTTTAACAGCAGTATTTGTAATAAACCAAAGTCAACAAGTGGGAAAATATTCCTTACGTAGCAATACGTCTGGGAGAACAGGGCTGTGTGGCTCCTAAGGTACCAATAGTCACCGCCATTTCTCTTGTGGTCATAAAACCTCCTGAGGCCAAGGAGGTAGTAATGATACCTGAGAAGTGATAGATGACCCTTGAGGTACCTTCCTACAAATGGAAACCTACAAAGAATTGGAAACTTGGCACCATTTTTCAAGGTGTTTTCTAAATATCAATTATTTTAGCATCTCTTGAGAAGATGTCCTTTTTCTGCCCACTCCAGTTAGTGACATTCTTTTTCTTTTCTTTTTTTTGAGACAGAGTCTCACTGCGATGCCCAGGCTGGAGTGCAGTGGCACAATCTCTGCCCTCTGCAACCTCTGCTTCCCAGGTTCAAGTGTTTCTCCTGCCTCAGCCTCTCGAGTAGCTGAGCTTACAGGCACATGCCACCACAGCCAGCTAATTTGTGTATTTTTTGTAGAAATGATGTTTCACCTTATTGGTCAGGCTGGTCTTGAACTCCTGACCTCAAGTGATCTGCCCACCTTGGCCTCCCATGCTGTTGGGATTACAACTGTGAGCCACTGCCCCTGGCCTTAGTGATACTCTTGAAGTGGGGGACAGTCCTTCCAGAGAGAGGCCTCACCCACAGGGGGTAAGGAACAAGCATTAAAGGGATATGCTTTTTTTAAAAAAATGCTCCCCCCGCCCCCACTTCCCACCCAGTGATTCCTATTCAATGCTATGCCTCAGTGACGTCCTGCTGGCATCAGGGAGAGCATCCCTTCTTTCCACCTTCAGTCAACAGAGCAGGTGGAGGTCAGTCAGCCTCTGAGAAGGCTGCCTTTAAGGACAAGTTCAGCTAAAAGATCAACCTGGGTCCTGGGGCAGGATTTGCCGCTAACTAACATTTGACCTTCTTTATCTGTACACCAAAGGGGTTGACTTACGTGGCCCAAAAGGCCACTTCAGCAATGATATTTTCCTCTTCCACGTTGAGCAGAAGCTGAGGAGTCACAGAATAAGGTTACCATGTTTTCCAAATCCAAGGTTGCAGGCTGGTGGTCAGAGCTGGCTTACAGATGTGTTTTGTTTACACTCCCTAGTGTTTTGTGTTTGATGAGTTAGTTGCCAACATTTAAAAATAGATATAGAAAGTTCTGGATCTGGCCACACCCACCCCTCATTCCCGCATAGTAGCCTCTGCCAGAGCAGGCACGTGCCGCCGTCCCGCCGGGCCCGTTTCCCTCACTCCCATACCTTCCCAGCCACTGGAGAAGTTTGAGTTTGCAACTCTTGTTTTAATTTCTCTCCATGCTCCCTGGATCCCATGGGACAATGACTCTTTGTCAAGGCCACATATCCAAGCCTGTTTTAGTGTCTTTCTGCTGCTTGCACCAGCTCAATGAGAGATGGTTTGTGTGAGCATGTGAGCTGTGGTCATGTGATCTGGCTCCGTCAGGAACACAGAGAGTGGGAGGAGAGCTAGAAGCTGAACATCTCGTGCTGGTCCTGGAGAGCTCCCTGCCAGGTGGCTGCATTCCAGGCATGCGGAAGGGACGTGAGAAGTTCCATATGAAACTCTGCATGTCTAGAATGCATCTCTCCCTGCGCATCTCAGGGAGAGATGAGACCCCAAAAGAAAAGAGCTGATGGGGTTTTTAAGTGTCTTCTTTCTTTCCTCCTCTTCCCCACATTGTCTAGGTCCATGCCACAGACGGCGGGCGAGCAGCTGCTGTACCCAGCTGGGGTCTCTGTCGGCCCTGAAGCATGCTGTCCTGGGGCTCTACCTGCTGGTCTTCCTGATTCTTGTGGGCATCTTCATCTTAGCAGGTAAGAGCAGGCCATTTTGTCACCTTTTGGGGTGAGGAAGGAAGGCCTGGAGCTTCCATTCTTCATTCCCAGTCATGGGCCCAAACGCTGCCCTTGTCACCATGGAAACCACAGAGGAAGAGGGGAGCAGCTCTTCAGTAGTATTGCTTGTTTTGTGTGGCTGTAGCCAGCAGGGGCTGTGTGAGCTTGTGGAACGGAAGCGCCCAGCAGGAGAGACCCAGCTGCTTGGAGTGGCTTCTGACTTTTCCTGCTCCGCTGTGGGGCATCGCGCATTACACTGGGCCCCCTGGGCCTCTGGAGTGTGGCTTGCATTGAGGAGGCTGGGCGTTGTCTTCGTTCCTGTCCTGGGGTGCCATAAAAATCGTGGTGAGGCACTTTGCTTCCTGGTAAATCTGCTGTCCTGTGCAGTTACTGTAGGTAGGATGCTTTTGCCCTGATTCAGCCAGGCTCTGCTTACCAATTTCCATCTGTTGAGACAGGCAGGTGATGGGTGATGGGCTAGGGCTTGCAGCACGTTCTCCTGCCAGGGAGAAGGAGAGCTCATGGACTCAGCAAGGGATGGAACAGGGGACTGCTGGCCACAGGCTGTGAGCAGCCCAGCTTATCATCTACAGGTAGACCCTGCGAAGACAGAGATGGTGAAGCAGGTGGCGGTGGTGGTCTTCTCCTGACTTTCTTTTAAAGGAAAGGCTGCTCAGTTCCCACCTTTGTCCGTGGAGGTAGGTAGTACTGGACACAAGTAAGGCTGAGGGATCAGTTTATTTCAACCTGACATGTCTCCTGTGAGTACCTGCCCAGCAGGTTCCAGGCTAAGATTGCGGGCACAGCTAAATAGGATCCAGGGGCTTCTCTCAAGGAGATCCCAGCCTAGAAACCAGGGCAGGGTCATGCAGATAGAGCCCTGCCTCAAGGCAGAATGCAGTGGGCACCGTGATGGGGTATAGCCCAATACGATGGTGACACAGAGCAGGCACATGTGGGGTGGGGGGCAGTGCAGTGCGGCTGCTGCATGGAGCAGGTGGGGTGTGTGGGAGTGAGGCTGCTGGCCAGGCAGAGCTGACTTGGAGCGTTGAGGGAGGGGCCCTTGGGTGAAGCCCCGGGCAGGAATCTGGAGGTCTGGCCCTTACAGATAAATGACCTTTGGCTGGAAATTTCAAGGCAAATGGCCAGGACCTCCTCAGTCTTGACTCACTTTTCAAGCAAGACTAGTCACTTGGGTGTTGTAATGGGGTGTTCAATGCTGCCTGTGCCTTCAGGTTTCCACACTCGGGGTAAAGACATTGGGGTGGAGTCTGTCCCACCAATGAGCAACCTGAGGGGTGGCCAACAGCAACAGTGAGAGAACCTCATGATTCATTCCTGGGACGGGAGGACAGGGGCCAGCAGGGTCGCTCGAAGGCCGAGTGGGCCAGAGGAGGTTTTGAACGTGTTCTCGGGCCGATTGGTGAGAGCTTGGGATTCTGGGTTTTGTGGGTTTGGCTGCCAGGACCATAACAAATTTCTGGAATGTGTAGGAAGCTTTCCAGCCCAACTGGAAACCAGAACAGGGACTTTGAGGTGACAGATGCAGAAAAGCTCTGCCGAACAGGAACTTTTAGGTGACAGGGGTCTGGAGGAGAGGGACCAGGCTGGTGGGGGGTTTGGGGCAGGTCTCTGGAGGTCCTGGAAGGGCATCATGTCTTGGGGAAGAGAAGACTTGCGGTGGAGTGATGGTTCTCCTCTGGTGTCTGGATGGCTGCCGTGTGGAAAGGGCGGACATGCTCTGTGTGACCCCAGAAGGCAGAGCTGGGACCAACGGGTGGATATCATTAGGAGACAGATTTCCATTCATAATAAAGGACAGTTTTCTAACAAGTTGTGCTGTCCAGTATGATGAAAAAAGCCTTTCTCCTGGCTTGGAGATTGAATGAGGTTTCTAATGATGTCCTGGAAGCTTCAGGAAGGAGGGTGGAACATGGTTTCCCAATCTAATAAAAATGTTGCCATGCTTCCTTCATTGTTCCAGCATTTTTCTGATCGTTATAATTGTCTTTGAACCTGAAGTTTCTGGGTACCACATTGCCTGTGTGGAACAAAAATTTGGGGTGGATTGGAACGGAGCTGGTGCAACACTGTCCCACCTGATCTCGTGGCCCTCCATGCGTGGCCGCTGTTACCACCCCCCGCCCCACAGATTCTTGCCTGGAGAATCATGTTGGCCTCTGGGGGAGGTGTGGTGAGGGTGGCATAGGAAGGGTACTTGGCAAGGTGGCGGACAAGTCTGGGGTTCTTTAAGGAGGCGCTGTCTGATCTTAGAGAGGTTTCTTTAGATTGCCTGATTGAAGACCTCAGCCGTGCTACTTCTCAGCGATCAGTTGATTTCAACCCAACATGTCTCACACAAACACCTTCCTCGCAGCTGGCTGCATGCTAAGCTTAGGGGCAGGGGGGAGCTCCACAGTCCAGCATGAAGCAGAGCTTGCCTGGCCTTTTTTGGATGTCCTGCCATGGGAGACGGCTTCCCCCTTTTTGAGTAGAACTCACTGTCTGTGCCCAGAGAGGTCACCTTGCACAGGAGATACCTTTAAACCATTCTTAAAACCTCCTTGTCAATGCAAATCTCATAGATTCTATAACTGGATGACAAAACGATTCACTGCAACCCAGTACCATATCTGAAGACTGGATTGGCAACATCTCAGTGGCGTACCAATGCTTACTCTCACTGTTGCCCAGTATGACCAATTTGTAATCAAATTGCAGCAAAATATGACTCTTATAAGCCCCAATTAGGACTTCTGTCAGTTAATCTTCTTGCCCAGACATTGAAAGTAAAAGGCAAGCAGATAGCTCACGTTTATGCATCACCCCAGTTTCCCTGTTTGAAGGTTAATACAACCACCACCCAAATTATCCTCTCAATTGGATTCTACCCACCATCCAACCTGACCAGCGTCCTTCTGGGAGCTTTACGCCGATAATCCCATGCCTGCACTGGGTTCTGTTCCCTCAGCTCACAGCCTTTCATCGTCTCCCAAGGAGATGATAAGGGCCTCCTTCTAACCCCAATTCCTTTACGTTTTTCTCTCTTCAACACATTTTGATTATTACCTTGGCTGATGGTTCCCTATTGTGTTTTCATTCTGTTCCCGATTCATTTCTGGACAGTACAGATCATCAGGTTTAAGTTCATGAACTAGAGAATTAAGATTGCCTGGTCCTGGGGCCGGGCGCGGTGGCTCAAACCTGTAATCCCAGCACTTTGGGAGGCCGAGGCGGGTGGATCACGAGGTCAAGAGATCGAGACCATCCCGGTCAACATGGTGAAACCCCGTCTCTACTAAAAATACAAAAAATTAGCTGGGCATGGTGGCGCGTGCCTGTAATCCCAGCTACTCAGGAGGCTGAGAAAGGAGAATTGCCTGAACCCAGGAGGCGGAGGTTGTGGTGAGCCAAGATCGCGCCATTGCACTCCAGCCTGGGTAACAAGACCGAAACTCCGTCTCAAAAAAAAAAAAAAAAAAAGATTGCCTGATCCTGTGGTCAGGGGGTCCTCAATCCAGCACTTTAGGCGAGAAGTCCTGGGCGATGGAGTTAAATGGTGGGAGGGAGTTCATGACTCTTCTGGGAAGACACTGTGGTGACGGGGTGTGGTCCTCAGGAACCATCTCTTCTTACACTTTTCTGAGACAAGTCCGCAGATAAGTCCAGATTCTCACTGTGGAAATGAAACAGCAGATGGGGGAAGTGGAAAGACCTGGGATTCAAGTGTGGGGTGAGGCTGCAGCGTCGCAGCAACGTAGCAAGACCATTGGTCTGCAGGGAGAGTGCCTGGGTGGGTATGGGCTCCTCTTGCACCTTAATTTCGTTCTTTTCTAACAGCACCAGTCGGTCATTGTCATCATCATCCTCAACAAGCACTGAACCTGTGCATGAGTGTTTGGTGGGTGCAGGGCAAAGGGACAAGCCCTAGGAATAAAATGTCACGAGATGTAGGCCCTGCACAGAAGGGTTTAAAATCCTCAACACATACAGCTGCCGGAGGGCAATGTGACGTGGTTTCTGTTATTGCTAAATTATACAAAGGAGAGCCTAATCCCTGAGGGCTGGCATGGCTGGGGAAGGCCTTGGCCTGGGAGAGCTGTCCACCTGGCTTTGAACTGTGTGTCCCTTTTGTGGATCACCATGTTTCAAGCAGGTCTGTCCCTGGACTCTGTAGGAAAGAAAAATGTGCTCAGAGCCTGTGTCCATCTATACCGTAGCTTCCTGATTCTATCACACGCCTTGGGAACAGGAGCGTAATGCTGTCGTCCTTTACTGGGACACTCTGTCAGAAACAACACTGTGAAATGTCATCCCTTGTGCTTGTTGTAAGGACGATGTTGTCTGTTGCATTATACAAGGCCCTCCTCAGAGGGCCCGTGCACAGATTATTTTCTGTCTTAGTCATGGAAGGACTTATGTGCTCCTTGAGGAATTTGTTTTCACCTTATGGAGACTGTGAAACTGAAAGTCTCTAGAATTTCTTTCAAGTAATTAACACAAACTTAAGAGTCAGCTCTCATCCCTTGTATGGGGATGTGTGAATTTGAAGGTCATTAAGACAAAAACGTGGGGACAGAATTGTGGTCCACCTGCAGAATTGTAGAGGACATTTTTGTGTTAGCCTCATTCCCGGCTTTGTTTGGGGTCTCTCTGCTTAATCTTCTATAGCTGGTTCTCATCTACTTTAGTCTTAGTGCAGTTAATATATCCTTGTGAATTGCCTTAATCCTTTATGGAATGAAAAAGGGCGTTAGGCACAGTTTTATCTTTATAAAAATTTCTGCCTATTCTATTTGATTCTTCAAGTGCATAATGCTTTTAACATGTGAATGAATGACAGAGGCAAGGAAATCCAGAGAATATTTGTGGAAAAAAAGATAATTACTAAGTTTTAACCAAGTACCTAATTGAGATGAATATGGAATTGCCACCCAGGGACATTTGGCTAGAAGAAGCGGCAGGTGTGTGATTAACTA